CTGCCTGATGTTGGGGGGCAGGTTGAAGGGAGGTGGTCTGCCTGATGTTGGGGGGCAGGTTGAAGGGAGGTGGTCTGCCTGATGATGGGGGGCAGGTTGAAGGGAGGTGGTCTGCCTGATGTTGGGGGGCAGGTTGTTCCAGAGTTTGGGGCCCATGACTGAAAAAGCCCGATCTCCTCTGAGCTTCTTGTTTTTGGAACAGCCAAAAGCAGCTGATCAGATGATCTCAGGGCCTGAGAGGGAACGTAAGGTTCCAGAAGCTCAGAGAGGTGAAGGGGTGCGAGACCATTTAGACATTTGAAGGTCAACAGAAGAATTTTAAAGACTATCCTCGTACGAACAGAGAGCCAGTGAAGGGAGGACAGAACTGGAGTAATATGTTCAGACCTACGAGTTCCGGTTAAAAGTCGAGCAGCAGCATTCTGGATGAGCTGAAGACGTGAGATGGAGGTCTGGCTGATCCCAGCATACAGTGCGTTGCAATAGTCCAATCGGGTCGTGACAAAGGTGTGGACTAGTTTCTCAAGGTCGGGTCTGGACAACACTGGCTTGAGCTTAGCTACCTGTCTGAGTTGGAAGAAGCTTTTCTGCAGAACAGAGTTGATTTGTTTGTCAAACTTGAAGTCAGAGTCTAAAACCATTTTTGGATAAAAGGCAAAATGTTTCAACAAAGAAAAATTTGTCCAAAGGACCTGACTCAACCTTGTTAAATGTATCTACCTGGATTATTGACCATGCATCAGGACATCTGCAATACATTTTTTTAATATATTTTGTATTTTTTTGGAAGTGTAAAGCAGGTATCTAAAACCCTTTAATTACCATGTAGAAAAGTTTTCCATGAGAACTGGAAAGACTGGTTTTTACTGGAAGCTTACTGTTCTTTTGCTGTTGCTTTTGTTCCTATTTGTGAAAAGTTGGAGGTAATAATATGAGAGCTGTGCTCAGGGTACACTTAATATAAGTACATTTTGTATTCACTGCTGTTGTCTTTCTGCATTAATGCCATGCTCTCTGAATGCTTTGTATGATTAAGGTCATCCTTCAAGGCTTTGACTCTTTGTACACAGAACTGGGTGTGACTTGAAAATGACATCATATAGTATCAGGTAGATGTTCAGAACTCAAATTCACTGTGGAATTGTACGCCAGCATTAAGAACTTGGGAGTGTCTTTTAGTCATGAGAACAAAAGGTTCAAGTTCATTGTTTTACTGTGGACTTCACCTACAGTATATAAATATGTCACAGCTTCAGAATCTGAGATCTTTGGAGTCAAGATGAAGATACTGGTTCTTTTTGCTGTGGGAGTACTGGGCTGCAGCCTGGCTGGTGCTGCAATTGTGTCCAAATGTGATCTGATGAACAAGCTGAAGACAGCAATCCTAAAGCTGCCAGGAAACGTGTCGATGTCAGGACTGACTTCGGATGACTTTGTGGCCAAGAGTAAGTAACAACTAGTAACTAGTATAGAGGGTTGAGGATCTAAAGTTACAGGTTGGATAACAGTGTAAATGTCATTTTGAATAAAATGTCTACTGGGTAGGATAATAGGTTAACATGTTCACATGACATGCAAAAACAAGGACACAAAATGATACCACTATAATGACATGGTAATATTTGATTACAATGTGTTGGTGCGAAATGATGAAAAAAGAACGGGACCTGAATCTGCGTCACGTGTACGTGTCCTCAAAGCTTCACATGCCCTTGACATTCAGCTGATTCAAGCAGTCGTGCTGGTAATCCTGTCTGTGACAGAAAACAAAGCAGAGAAGAAGCGTGCTGTTTGAACTGAGTTGAACAGTGCAACGCAGGAAAAAGACGCCACGACTGGTAATCTGAGTGTCATCAGAAGGGTCAGTTGTAGCAGAGCAGATATTAGCTTGCAGGTTGTTGTGCTCTGTTGAAGAATATTTGGTT